AAGAGGATTAAGTTTCTTACCTCCAAAATCGAAGAGCAACACCAATAGAGGGGGAGAGAGCAAGAACAACAACAAGCTAAAAAAACGAGGCAAGTGAGTTTGAATGCAATGGCTCGAGGCTCGGGAGGAGGAAGAAATGAGCTGAATTATAGGCGGGATAATTAGTCCGGTTAGGGAGTCCAAAGCGGGACTAAAGATTAATCTTTATTCGGGCATCACCCAAACCGGGACTAAAAGCTTTAGTCCCGGTTGGTAATACCAGCCGGGACTAAAGATCCCTGCCCCGCGGAGGACCGTTGGGGAGGGACCTTTAGTCCCGGTTGGTATTACCAACCAGGACTAAAGGGTCCTTTAGTCCCGGGGGCAAAAAATGCCGAGGCTAATGCTGAATTGGGACATCGTTCTAAAGTCTGTTCTCTAGTAGTGTGTAATTAGTTTTATTTTTTATTTATATTTAATGCTTTATGCATGCGTTTAAAGATTCGATGTGACGAGGAATCTTGAAAAATTTAGCATTTTAGGAGGAACTAAACAGGGTCTTAACTCGTGATGATTAATAAAATGTATGTTCCCGTCTTTTTATTTTGTATACCTTGATACACTAGCACGTGGTACACTGGCACACCCGCACTTTTTCTCACACGAGAAACTGCTTGAGACGGGTTTTCTTGTGTCCAAACAAGTAGAAAAAAAAGCATCCATTTGAGGGGGTCACGTCGTCCTTGCCGCAGACGATAGATTAGATAAACAAAACCCAAATTGTTTTGCTTTTGCAGGTGATGGATTGGATTTGGATCCTGCTGTGCTGTGTGGGGGCAGCGGGCACCCCGCTACGCCACGCCCCCCTATATGAATAAACAACACGCCAATCCTGCGGTGGTGACTCGAATAAGCATTTCTAAGGGAAGAAAGCAAGTATAATAGGAGGCTATAAACTGGTTAAATACTCAAGGTGGGAAAGAAAAGAGGAGAGAGTACGAACGAATTAAAAGAAGACGGCAAAGAAACCTTCCAGCAGCCACCGACCGGCTGTACCTTGCTCGAGTCGGCAGGTTAATAAGGCTGAAGGAAGCGGCAGCGTGGGACTGTTTCTAGACAAAGGTCTCATTAGTGCTGGGCCCCGCTCCTCAGAGCCATGATGATGGTTATGGTAGTAGTACTACTACATGGCCTTCACAGGGATGCATATGAGGCGTTTAGAACGTGGCAGTGTTCGTCGTTGTACTACTACACGAGCGGAATGGACGGCATCTTGTGCAGTAGTAGTACTGTATTGCTTGAATGGAAAAAGATAAAAAGATTTCCAGGAATTCAACGAAGCTCGTACGTAGTCACTGTGTGCAAACAGCACCGATTGTCCGTGACTCTGAGTTACGGTACGGCCGACGGGGAAAGCAGTAGCACCGTGGGATCATCTCGGCCGCCGCCGCCGCCGCCGCGCCGGAGCGGAAGAGCAACAACCGAGCAAATCATCATAGGTGGTTGTGTTGTGCGTGCACGCCGCCAACCGCTAATCACGCAACCGAGCAAATCATATGGTTGCGATGATGTTGCATATAGACAGTACACATCCATCCATCCCACCTTCCTGCACCAGCGTCATGGATCCGCCGCCGTCCGTTAGGTAGGCGGCACGCCGCGGACCGTGCCCCGTAACCACGCGTGTTTTATGTTGAACATTTGGTCAATTTACGACTTATATTAATCCATAAAAACGACTTAATCAATAGTAACAGTACCACTAACCATACTGTAACACCGCCACTACTGCGGATAGTATTTAACGGAGCAGCAACCAAGTACGCTATCAACGCTAACAGAATAGCATATGAACAATTGCGCACAGTGGGATTAGGTTTATACCCTAGGGTGGAACTGCCGGTACCCGCGGACAGTGAGCCACCATCTTCTCCGTCGGTGGCGTTGGTGCGGGCGCCAGTCCTCCTCGTGTCCACCATGTTGCAGAGGAGGTCGCGCCGGGAAGCTCCTGCAGGTGCGGTGTCCCAAAAACTTGATTCCCCGCCTACTCGTGCATGTACGCTTGACGGGGGAAGTTTCGGAGGCCTGCTACCGAAGCTCCCTGTGCGCGCAGGGAACTCCGGCCGGAGATGCAGACGAACAGCTCAACGCTCAGATGTTGCGGAGAGGAGGAAGCAGATGTTGCGGAGAGGAGGAAGAGGAAGAGTCGCTGGTTCGGGTCTGTCCGCCGCCGGACGGGGGCGCCCCCCCTTATAGCCGCGCCGTTCCCCATCTGTCCGTTAGGTCCTGTCGGGGGAATGAACCTGGACAGGGTGGTTGGGCGGTGGGAGTTGGCTGCGGCGGCTAGGGTTTCGGTTGGGCCAAGCGACAAAACCAAGCCAGGCCCTCGCCCTCGGCTCGGCGGCGGCGCGCGCGTGTGGCCTCCCGGTTCTCCCTCTCAACTTGTCTATGAGAGAGTCTTAAGAGTCACTATTTAAGTTGAGAACCTTTTTAGTGAATTTCCCATGAGGTACTAATCACTTTTCCACTTAACAATAATTGTGGGCCTTTGAAGTTTATTTGATTAATTAGAATAAATAATGGGCCTGGCCCAAATTAATCTAACATTTTATTCTCAGGTATGACATGGACCACTTGAGCACAACCTAGGAGTTTATGCGTGGCGTACTCCACTAAGGCCGATCTCAATGGCGATTTCACTACTGTTTCCAACATGGCCACATCATCTAGAGTGGAATGAAACGATGAATGAAACAACCTTCAAAGGTCTGACGTTTCATTTTACCAATTCCAAAGCTAAGTAAAGCATTTAAATGTTTGCGGGATCTTTGGGATCATATGCACCATATGCATCGTGTAGCCACTTCCACACATTCAGTAGCTGCTTTCTCATCAAAGGCAAAATTGGGGGCATGGCCCTCCATCCAGCTCCTTGCGGTGGCCGTGCTGGCACATACGAACTCGGCACAGCAGGGGTGGAACTCGGCACAACAGGGGAGGAAGTTGGCACAACCGGGGGCGGAACCTGTGGCGGCGCTGGGAGGGAAGTCGTCGGCGACGACGGCGAGTTGGAGGTCGACAATGGCCTTGAGAGCCGCCGTCTTCATTCAATGAGAGTACCCCGTGTCCCTTTCCTCGTGTGTGCGGATGGGCGTCGTCGGGTGCTCCCAACCGGATCCATCGATGCAGGATCTCAACCGCTCTCAACCGGTGCCGCCCAGAGCTCCACGAGAAAGGCTGATATACGGGAAGGGAAAGGAGGGGTGGTGGGGAAGGCATGAACTACGGGGCGGGAAGGAGGGCGGGAAGGATTGGAGTCGCGTGCCTGGAGCACGGGATCAGTCGGATGAAATTTTCCGCCTCAACGCTGGTTTCACGCGATTTCCAACAACTTGGAAACGGAGCTCACTCGTGTCGTGGGGATGAAACGTTTCCCCTCTCTCTCCTCCTCATTTCATGCAAAAACTCCAAATTTGCTGATGTGTCACCCTATTTAATATGCATGAAACCCCATGAAATGCCCATTGAGACTGGCCTAACCACCCACGGTAAACGTATGGTAAGCCTGGCCGTGCCGACTACGGACTGCCCAACCCAAGGGGGTCAAGCACTCGAGCTTAATTAAACACTACTATATGGCGTCAACAGCGGTGGTGGAGGTGGTCACGTGCTTAGTGGCGTGCTGGCGCTAGCACGCACACGGGACATGTGGGGTTAGGACTTGCTAGGAAGCAGCTGGGCTGCTGCAATGCTGCGCCTAATGCTAATCCGCCAAGCCACAGCTAGCGGCGCGCACGGGGCCGGGCGGGCGGGCGGACAGCGACGCGCGGTGCGGTGCGAGACGCAGACACGCCTTGTCCCGTGGCCGTGAGCACACGCGCCCTGTGATAAGCGGTCTGCCGATGGTTTTCGTTCGGCGCGGGCTGCCTTTTTCCTGCGGTCTCTCTCTTTTCTTTTGTTTCCGGTGCGCCGGGGGCCGGCCGGTCGGTCAGCTTTGGGCGGCCGCTGCCCGCTTGCTTGCTCGGCTCGGCAGCTGCCTAAAGCGAAAGCCTGCCGGCCTCGAGGGGAGGGGCACGGGACACCAATCAGGCAAGGCAGGTACTACGTACTACTAGTCGCTGGCGGACGTAACGTGACGTGGCGCCTCTACCGCCTCGCCGTATGACCGTTCTGCCCCCCACCTCGTGGTACAGTACCGGTATGGACGTATGGTATGGTGTCTCTCGAATGTTCGCTGCACAAGCACAACAGAACCATGTACCAGTACGTGCGTACGTACGTCAGCAAGCTAAGGAAAGGAAGGATCACCGAACAAACCGCGAACCCGCGGCTCGCAAGTCGCAACCTACGGTTACATTATTACAGCCTTGCCGACACAGACAAACAGCAAGCGTAGCATGGACCAAACCCAAAAATGTAAACGACACCAAATCCTCGCCGTCCGTAGACCGTACGTGTCCAGGTCCACCTATACACATCACAGCGTACGTATCCCACACCCACAAGGCCAGAAATACATGCGCACTCGCTTGCCTCACAGCGGTCACGGTCCTGTGCACTTGTTTTGCTTACTTTCCAAGCAAAAGACCGCCTCCAACCAGCGCGATTTTCACCCGGCAAGTACGCGGCCGCGTGCACGCCCAAAAGTCCGTTTGCTTAGCCGAGTCCACCCGTGCACCGTCCGGCCGTCCGTCCGCGGCAGGCAGAGGGCCACGCACACCGAGCCGAGACCAAAGCCAGCGGGGGGCACACCACACGTCGCTGTCGCGCGTCGGTCCGGGGAACGCGTACGCCGCCCGTCGTCCTCCTTCTGCTCTCCCCGCGATAAAAAGGCCTCCCCTTCCCCCTCCTCCCCACCCCATTTCCCACCCTCACCACCAGAGGCCAGGCCGAGCCGGGAGGTAGCTTACCTAGCTGCCTCTGCCCTCCTCGTCTCCGCACAGAGGCTCCTTGCTGCCGCCTGCCGGGCTTTACTTTTAACCACGCCGTGCCGCCGCGTCACAGCTCCTTCTACTCCTCTCATGGCGCAGCGCGACAAGAAAGTGGAGGAGCCCACGGAGCTGCGGGCGCCGGAGCTCACGCTGTGCGCCAACAGCTGCGGCTTCCCGGGCAACCGGGCCACCAACAACCTCTGCCAGGCCTGCTTCCAGGCCGCCACCGCTTCCTCGGCCGCCTCCGTCTCGCCGCCGTCGCCCTCCTCCTCGTCGTCCCTGTCCCCGCCGGTGTTCCAGTACGACGAGCAGCAGCAGCAGCAGGCGAGGCCGTCTGCGCCGGCGGTGTTCGCCGACCGGCCCGCGGAACCGTCTCCGTCCAGGCCGGCCCGGACGTCTCCATCGTCGGCGTCGTCGTCCGTCAACCGGTGCCAGAGCTGCCGGAAGCGCGTCGGGCTGACGGGGTTCCGGTGCCGCTGCGGTGAGCTCTTCTGCGGCGCGCACCGCTACTCGGACCGCCACGACTGCTGCTTCGACTACAAGGCCGTCGGCCGGGACGCCATCGCCAGGGAGAACCCCGTCGTGCGCGCCGCCAAGATCGTCAGGTTCTGATCTGGTCCCGTCCGGGAGCGACAACCAGCGGCGGCGTCTCGATCGGAGCCGGACGGAGGGCACACGTACGGTGATCGGCGGAGATTCGGTGGATCGGTCCATCTCCCTCTAGAATTCCTTCCTTCCTCTCTTCTGTTTCTCTCTCTTTTCGTCCTTTGTTTTCCTTTTTTATTATTATTACAAGAAAAAAAAAGATTAGAAGGTGATCGATCGAATCCATGGAGGGTGTTGGTTATTGTTGATTGTCACGCTGTTCTTGAGAATTATTCCATCCATGACCACGAGGAGGAAGAAAAGCGTTGCAAAAAAAAAAGGGAGAGAGGTCATGGGAGGCAGAGAAAGATGGTGGGATGAAAAGAACAGTGCGATGATAATGTTATTGTAGCGGTGGTGGTTGGCCAGTTGGCGGGAAGAGATAGGGTTCGGTTTGGTGTGTGGTGTTGCTGCAATCACAAATCTCTCTCTATATATACATTTTTATATCTTGTATAAAATTATTTACATTATTTAAATTATATATGGTCGCCAAGTTGCCATATCGCCCAATTCGAGCTACTAGTACTATATTCCATTCCATTGGTGGTGGTGGTTTGTCATGACAACTAAACCAACCATTCATGTTTGTGTTGTACCATTATGGTTGGATGGATGGATTAGCTCACCAGCTGCTTGGTGATTGGTACGCGCACCGGGACAGACAGATAGTATACGGCCATCTAACCCCAATTCTGCTCCTCTGTTTCCGAGGCTTATCTTCGTCTCAGCTTGTGTAATCTAAAACCTGTTCGACGGGTGCTGATATGATTGTGGGTTATTACCGCTAACTGGTTTGGTGTGAAAGAAAAATACTATTTTGGCTAAAAATTTACGATCGGTACGACCAAACAAACAAACATGCCTAATCTAAAGGAGAAAAGGCTGTACTACTCGAGCTGGAAAAAGGTCCTCCACCAAATCTTGTTGGGAAGTCTGATGAGCATCCAGAGTCCAGACAGGGGCAAGAACAGGAACAGGAATCCTAAGTAGCAGTAATAGGTGTTTGTGTAGGTGCAGCGTGCGTGGACGGACGACGGCGACCCCCTGTTTGCCGGCGGTTGCAATTGCGGAGTGAGTGCCGGGCAAGGTTGGCGCCGGTCATGACGTCTCCGCGGTCGCAGAAAATCTGCGTGCGCCCGCTCGCCTTTGTCTCCTCCCGGCCGGTGGTGGAGGTTGTGGTGGTGGTGGTGGAGATGGAGGAGAGGATCTCTTCCGGTCCGGCGGATCATCCGCCGCCGCGTCCACTTGCCGCGATGCGTAGGCATCATCGCGCACGGCAGTGGCACAGGTCGGCGGCCGCGCGCGATTCTTTATTCTCTATTTTATCTTAGCGTCTCGTTGTGGTCGAGCAGCTAGCTAGGTAGCCGCAATCAAATGCATGCCAGCGCCAGCCGTCGTGGACGCCACGCGGCACAGGCTGGATCGGAACGGGACGCGACGCAAGGGATCTCTCTTTCGCTCGCCTTTCTCTTCTTCCGGGAGACGGAGACGGCCCCCGTGACGCTCGCGCCGCCTTTGGTTCGTCCGTCCGGTCCGTCCTTGGTCGCGTCCGGCTGCTGCCCGGCAGGCCGGCCTCCGATCCGGCGGCGGGCGAACCGTGTCCGGGTTCACTGTCCTCTCCCTCCGTTTTCCGACGGTGACGACAGGGCCTGCAGAAAAATCGTGTTCGGCCTCGCGACAGGTATCAACTTTCAAGTTTCAATACGGTAGCGTAAATACACGTGCCTAGTTACTAGTTAGGATTTTTAAAAAATAATTTAAATTAGCTATGCTGGTTGGCTAACAACTATTAAAGACTTAGCGAAAAATTAACCAACTTATTAGCTCTCCTAGACTTAATTTGAGCAAAAAAATAGTTAACTAATTAGCTAACAACTAGCACACAGTATCAACACATGCCCTTAGGGCAAATACATTTTTTTAACAAGGTAGGGCAAATACATTGGTATTGTCTAATCCATAGTTTCATGCAGAGCCCCATAATTTTAAGGACGACTTAATAGACAACATGCACAATTGTTGTCTTTTAAGTTGTCTCATGGTAACTTAGGATCCCTTAATTTATATATAGAATAAAAAGAATGTTGTGTGTTGCACGGCAACAACTCATACAGTGGTGCAATTGTTGTCTCATAGTCCTAATTTTTGTCTCCTGACAATAATTGTTTCGCAAACAACGACCACTTTTTCTCGTATCTTTCGCTTCTGTCCATATCATAAAAAATTAGTCGCACGTGACGCTGCATGAGACGACCTATATATATGAGGCCGCTGATGTGTAGCAATGTACTTACCCTTAGACATGTGGCTGTACATAGTACCTTTGTGCTAGATACTAATACTCCCTTTGTCTTAAGCTAACTAGAGTTTAATATAAATAAGTATTATAATATTTTTTATTATAAACCTATATTTTTATATTATACCTATTTGATATCATAAATATTTTTTTTACCCCCACCCCCACCTCCCAACGAATTTCAGCCATTAGTTTCTCTTAAAATATGTTGCATTTATCAAAAGATCAATATTATCTTTGGGACACTTATTGAAAGCAAGTATTTTGATGCAAATTAAAGCTTAATGTTAGACTTGTATGTAATTTGACTAATTATTCTATAAAATTTGACCTCTCCTTGTGTGAAATACACTTTTTTGCATTCCGAAACTGGTGGAATGTTAATTTAGTTTTACTGCACCGAACCTAAAACACGAGTTTTTTTTTATTAGGACGGAGGTAGTACGCGGTATCGCCACCGCCAGCGAGTCAACAGTTTTTACATAGATGAGCGAGGGAGGATCACGTGACAGTACTGGTTTAATATTCTCCAGTTTCAGCAGCCAGGAACATGCATGGTCTGGTTCTGGCTGGCACACTGGTTTAGCGGAGGCTCTGCGATTAGTCCGCGAGGTGATAATGACCCAGGATGGGGAGAGGAACCTAATGGTACGATTAACTGTATATTCCTTCATGGGCACAGCGGCACAAGCACAAGCGTTCTACTATAATCCTTATCTTTTGCTCGCAACGCATGTCAAGGACGGGACGATGACGAGTGGCAGAAACAAAAACCTGAGTCCACCTTGATCAGTGCAATGATTGGGATGCTCAGCTCGGCTCAGGGGGGCTCAGCTAGCTCGGCCTTTGGGACAGCGCGAAAGGGCAGGCAGGCAGGTTCCGTGAACCTTTGCTGTTGCTTCACATCTCTCCGATTGCCTTCCGAAAAAAGTCTACTTAGCCTCTCAAGTATGGGTAGATGTCTACTTCGCACCCTCAACCGTAAAATAAAACAAGGTATTTTACCCCTTAAATTATTGAAAACCGTCTAAATAATCTCCTGAGACGGTTTTGAAGGTGGTTTTACATATGTGGTATATTAAAAAATCTATATAGCCTCCTAACATATCAAGGGTTAACTGCATAACCCCCTTGACTATAAAACATGATATTATAGTCCGTAAAACATAAAAAATGTTCGAATGAATCACCGGATGGTCTTTGGTGTCGTTTGGACACTGTATTCCGCCATATAGAAGGAGAAAGTGAGAGGGGGCAAGGATGTGGGAGGAGCCGGATGACATGGGCGCAACCGTAGTGCATGTGCTCAATGCTGTCGGGGAGTGCATGAGGTGGAGTAGGAAACAAATTGTGCTCAACGGACGGTAGCACAAGCCTGGAAAAGAGTTCAGAGAGAGAGAGAGGCATCCGATGGGCCTGTGTGCAAGCATGTGTCCTTAGGCCAATGTGGTGGAATACGGTGTCTAAACGACCCTACATGGCCACTATTTTAATATTACTAGATGCTTTAAGGGATACAATATCATATTTTATAGTTGATGGGGTAATGCAGTCCACCCTTGATATGTTAAAAGGTTATATAGACTTTTTAATTTGCAACGTCAGCAAACCACTTTCAAAACCGTCTCATGGGTTATTTAGACGGTTTTCAATAGTTTAGAGGTCAGAATACCTGATTTTATAGGTGAAGGGGAGAAGTAGATAACCATCGATAGTTAAGGGGGTTAATTAGACTTTTTTTCGTTGCCTTCCTTCGCCATCCAACCAGCCTTCCTCCCCTCTCTGATTTGAGGCTTCCACTGCTATGCGTTTTCCCTGGTATGCTATTGCTAGGAGATGGTTGGCATGGTGCAGGGCAACTTTTGACTAGACTAGATAGGGCTACTGGAAAGGCTTAGATGCAGCTAGAAACAGCATAGGTACTGGCACTTGAATGAGCGCGTGTTTAGTTCTAGGAATTTGGAATTTGGGGTTACTGTAGCATGTTCGTTTTTATTTGGTAATTAGTGTTCAAATATGGACTAATTAGGCTCAAAACGTTCGTCTCGTAATTTCCCACCAAACTGTGCAATTAGTTTTTTTTTTGTCTATATTTAATGCTCTATGCATAGGCCGCAAACATTCGATGTGACAGGTACTATAGCACTTTTTGGAATTTTGGGTGGAACTAAACAAGGCTGAGTTCTTCTCAGGTTCGCTTTGGTGGATCTTAGCCGACTGGCTCGGTCAGTGTGCCTCCTGCCGTCCCGCGGTACAGCCGTCCCGCGGTACAAAGTTGCTAACTGTGATACTATATGCGTCTTTTTTTTTTTAAAAAAAAAGAAAGGCAGCCCCATCTGTTTTTTTTAAGTCATTATCTGTTTGAAAGCACGATCGAAGGGACAGAACGAGAACCATGAGAACTCAGAATTGATGAAGCCTATATCCTGATTTGAACCCAAAAGCTTAGCTTTGAGCGATCGCTAAAATCACATAGTCACGATGAATCTATGAGCCTAGGAAAATATATACAGCCTGCTCCGCTGCACTGGCAGAGCTTGCACAAGTTGTAGCTCAGCAGTGCCACTGCCCGCTGCAAAGTAGTGTTGGTGCAGAGCAAAGTTACGGTAGAGCAATTGGCAGCAGCTGCAAAGCACTTATGGCAACAAATACTTATGACTAACAA